TAATGAGGGGAGGGGGAGAGAGCCGGAGGGGGACAGACGGACAAGAGACGGACATACAGACAGAGAGAGAAAGAGAGACATCAGCACTGCAAAAGAAAAGGGGTCCTGGCCGGGGGGTGCACGGGGGCCTCGGCAAAACCATCCAAAATAAAGGGGGAGGAGGGCGAGGGTCAGGGCGGGGGTCCCGCTCGCCGGCAGCCCAGCCCTGGGGGGGACCCGTCCCCGCGCCGAGGGGGTGCCCCCAACGCGCAACCCCATCCTGTGCCGCCGCAAGGTGGTGGGGGGACACGACCTGCCACGGCCCCGGCCGCCCCCGGGGGAGCGGGAAGGAGGGGTTGCTCGTCTCCATGGGGCTGCCCATGGGGTGGCGTGCGGGGAGCCCGGGAGGAGGAGGAGGAGGAGGAGGAAGGCGAGTGGGTGCTGCCCATATACTCACTACACGGAGTAAACCCGGTAAGGAGAGACTCACTTGAGGGAAAGCCGCGGATCACCGTACGGGGCGTAAGGTGAAATGTTTAGTATAAACTCCTTGGGAGGGTAGGAGCTCCATTTCTGCTGCACTGTGTTGTCATTGTTATTCCAAAAGTCTCTGTCTAGATCGCTACAGCGGCCGGAGACCAGGGGAGAAAGAAAAGGGAAATACAAGAGAGAGAAGCTGAATTCCTGCGAGAGGGGAGGAAAAGCAGCCCTCCGCCCCCGGAGCGCCGGGATCCTGCGGAGAGAGACGGGGCGCGCAGCCACCCACCCCTCGGACACCCACGCACACGGACAGACAGGTGGATGGATGGACGGACGGAGCAGGGCAGAGCTGCGGAGAGACAGGAGCGGGCGGCTCCACCAGCTGGGAAGGAGAGAAGGATGGAGCGGGGTTAGAGAGGTGCCGGCGAGTGTGGTGCTGGTGCAGCATCCCCGGCACGCGTGCCTGTGCATCCTCGGCATGCCTGCCTGTGCGTCCTCGCCTCCTCAGCAGCCGGGTCCTGGAAGCGCACGCTGCTTGGTTAACCGTGATGCTGCTGAGTGCTGGAGACCCCTCCGGGTCCCCCCCTGCTGAACCAGCCCGCTGCCGGCATGGAGCCTGAACCTCCTGGCTCCGGCAAGCCGTTTGCGGCGCCCCGCTGCCCGAGCTGCGTGCCGGGGGCTGTGGAGCCGAGCAGCTCCCTGCCGGCGCTGGGAGACTTGAAAAGCTGCCGGTGCCCAGCCCTCACGCCCCTCGTCGATGCCCGCCTGCAGCTCCGGGTTGAGCCCGGCTGCGTGGACCCTGCCAGAGCCAGGGAGGGAGAGCCGTGCGTGGGTCGCGCTGTCGGGAGGGGACGGCGCTCCCCCCC